TCGAACCCAAGGAACCCTTATGCATGAGGTGGCTAAATTAAATAATGCTCTTACTCAATAAAATGCCCGGGCCACGCCGGCGGCCGAAGCTACGCAACAAGAAGCATTGGTTTTTGAGGAGCCAAGGGCTCAAGCACAGGCGGAAGTCAGAGAAGACTTCATAACCCACACAGATGTGGTCTCCCTCCTTGAGAATCACCTCTATAACATCTCTCCCGAAGACTTGGATTTTGTCCCTAGGCCTCCTTATTCACCCGAAGTGTGTCGCAAGCCGTACCCCAAGGGATACGAAACTCCGAGGTTCTTCTCTTTTGATGGTAGAAAAGGAAATCCCAAAGAGCACATCAGTCGCTTCCTGGATATGCTTGGGCAGTACTCCAGTGATAAGGATCTGAGGCTCAGATAATTCTTAAAATCACTCACTGATCGGGCCTATACCTGGTACACAACCTTGGTCCCAGGATCAGTTCGATCATGGGAAGAGATGGCGAGCCGGTTCTATCGGAAGTATTTCCAGAACAAAGAAAGGATCACAACCATCACGTTAAGTAACACTCGGCACAGACCGGGGGAACACCTCGTAGATTATGTCAGTCGCTTTCGAGACCTTGCGTTGGACTGCTACGATGGGAGTGGCGAAGGGGATCGTGTCGAAATATGCATCAACAACATCATCCCAGAATATAGAATGTATCTAGAGAATGTCAGGATTAAGCAATTCTCTAAATTACTCGAAGCTGCCAGAAGGACTTCTTCGTCAGTAAAGATCACGTCAGGACCCCGCAGTTCAAGGGAAAAGAGAGAAGTACCCCACTCACTAGCCATATCAAATAGGCCACCACGGGATTATCCTCGAGAAAGGAGGGAGAGAGACAGGGAAAGACTGGAGCAGCCACCTGTTCCTTACACGGATGAAGAGTTCCATGCTATCCTCAACCAGTGGATCCAATATGGGATAGTCCGCCTTTTCGCACAACGAAGGCAGCCAACGATGGATGATAAAAAGCATCCGAGGTACTGCCGGCTTCACCAATACATCAATCACCCTACGACGGAGTGTCAAATCCTTCGAAAGATTTATCATGCCAAAATTAATAATGGCACTCTCGAGCTTCTACCTAAGAAACAAATAATCGACCTAGACCCATTGCCTCACCACCATGTGAAAAAAACCTGCGCCATGTTGTGTTGTTCAGAAAAAAGGGAAGAGAGAATCCAAATAGAGAAACACGAGCATGGCAGGCAGATCCAAAGCCGCCCGAAGGGCTGTGGGAGGCATTGGGGAACAATGAACGAGCCTTTTGGAATACGTACAGTCGACCGAAGCATTACGGCACGCCTCTCCCAACACCAAGCGGTTGGGGAGACGGCTTCAAACTAGAAAAGGGTGGACCGAAAGAGGTTTCGGTAGGGACATAAATCCTAAGGCCCGAGCTTGCAGAAGGTGGTATGCCCAGCACGGACACACCACCATCCGGGAGTGGCATGCACATTTTAAGGATACAGGAGCTGCTGGGACATCACCGGGAGGCCAAGGGAGGGGAGAATGAGGGAAACACACCGGCAAGATAGCAGGAGGAGGGGTCAGCCTTCGAGCGCGCATTCGATAGGCTAACGAGGACCATACTCGAGCCTCCTGATAACCCCACTGCAAAGAAGCTACGAACCAAGCTCTTCACGAGGGAACTCCGTTTAGCTAAAAGAGGGATGCAGCCAAATGCCGCCTACATAAATTTGATGGAATCAGAGACAATGGAATTTACTATTTCGGTAATGACATACAGTGATTCAAACAACTCATCTGAGGTATCCTCACATGTGTCATTCAACGAGAGGCGAGCGAGCAAGAGGAAAAGACTAGCGAGGGAGATGGTAGCCGTTGGAGGCTTCCCTAACAAGGGGCTGCCAAATGAGCTAACCCCCGATACCATCCCCGGCGGCCACGGCCCTGAAGTAAGAGCGGCGGATGCGAACTTATCCGACACAGTGTCAGCTAGTTCTAGCCATATAAGGGTCGCAAAGTATTCCAATGCAGAGGCAGACTGTTCGAAAGTGACCACGCCCGATATGGGGCGGTCCTATATCATGTCCCCAAAACTAGCCATGATTCCCGCGGGAACATGGCAGCTCCAAGAAATGCCCCCGGACATGCAGCGAATAGAAGTCAATCGTCATGGAATGGTAGACACACCAGAAAGACTTGCACACTTAATGCAATGGCAAAGAGACATGGCAGGGAACAGGGGGCTGAAGAATTTTTGCCCAGACGAGGACGCACCGGAAGAGGAAAGCTCGTATAAGGCTTTTAAAAGAGCCGCGGGAGGAATAAGCGCAAGAAGAGCATGGCATGGACCCCTCATTCAGAGGTTTGAGGAGGAAAGTGAACCTGTAAATATCCTCAGCCTCGACGAACACGGAAACAATTTTGGGATTTTTTCAAGGCTTAATGGTGATCCGTCAGAAGGAGCATTCTAATTTCAGAAGTCTCTGTGTTATTCCGAGGGCAGTCTGGATAGCATGAGTGAACTCATGAGCCCTTCTGGGGTAAACAGGTTAATGAATGAGGACTCATGTGATACCCCATCGTCTGGGAATTCATCAAATACTCGACACACCGTCGCAGTGATAATATGTCCTGGGGAAACCAACGACGAAAGCAATTAGGGGAATGCACAGCAATCAACGATCGCACGGGCACTTCATCGGAGCCCGAAATTCAAATCACTATTCGATCAGCTCGGATACATACCTCAGGCCCGTCTAATGGCAACAGAGGCTTTGCTAAAAATCTCAGCAGAACACGGACCAGAGTGTTACGTCAATGAGGCTCAGGCAAGTCGCGCATTATTGGAAAGCACAAACTCGGTGACCTTCACCGATGAGGACATGGAAGTGGCGTACCCTGACCACAAGTGACCATTGTACTTGGAAGTCCAAATCAACAACGTACACGTCCGGCGCGCCCTGGTAGATACGGGGTCATCTATGAACATTATTCCCCTGGCTACCCTTACTGCCGCGGGGATACCACGTAAAAGAATCACGAAAGTGGATGTACGGATCACAGGATTCAGGAATTCCACCGAAATGGCCATTGGCTGTATCCAACTCGATCTCAAGGCCGGGCCCATATGCTCACAAACCAGGTTTCACATCCTGGACGTCGATGTCAGCTATCACATCCTACTCAGGAGGCCATGGTTAAACAAACACAAGCTAATTTGCTCCACTTACCATCAGTGCGTAAAAGGTCGATTGGGAACCAAGGTCATTCGCATCCTAGCCAACCAGACCCCTTTTGATCAAACAGAGACCCATTACGCTGATGCTGAATTCTACGACGACTTTGCCGACCGATGAGGGAGTGATGTTTGCAAACCGACCGGCACGCTGTTGCCTCATTGGGAAGAAATAAGGGAATTAAGTGACGGTGATCTACGCAATATGCTTGAAAAGAAAGGAAGAAGAAAGAGGCAAACACTTAGTGCATCAAAGTCACTCTACCTGACGAACGGACCGTCTACCGATTATGACGGTTTGGGGGGCCTGACCATCGGGCATGGGAAGGCCCCGAGTCAGGAGATGAGGAGTCACTTTCCTGCATGGAGAAGACAATACCCAGTAAAATTGAACCCAAGGAACAACCGGCACCAGCGCCAAGACAAATGCAAGATGGATCCGACGCCGTCATAGAACCCCTGGAGGAAATAAATTTGAGCGGTGATCCGAACATTCAAAAATTGATCTCGATAAGCACCCGGTTAACCTCGCAGGAAAAAAAATAGTCTAATCGGCTTATTAAAGCAAAACATCGATGTGTTCGCATGGGGCTATAAGGAAATGCCAGGGTTGGACCCAAACATGATCAGCCATGCATTAAACACTCAATCCGATGTGAAACTGGTAAAGCAGCAGCGACGTAATCTACACCCGGAAATGGAAATACAAATTAAGAAGGAGGTGGAGAAACTGATCGAGGCCGGATTCATCAAGCCAATCCAGCACCCTACATGGCTGGCCAATATCGTTCTAGTAAAAAAGAAAAATGGGCAAGTACGGATTTATGTAGACTTTCGGGACCTCAACCGAGCATGTCCAAAGGATGAGTTCCCCCTCCCAAACATGGACATCCTTATGGACTCTATAGCTGGGCAAGGAATGCTTTCTTTCATGGACGGGTACAGTGGAAACAACCAAATCAAGAAGGCCACGAGGGACGCCGAAAAAACTGCATTCCGAACCCCCTTCCGTAATTTTTACTATATTGTTATGCCATTCGGACTCAAGAATGCTGGCGCTACGTACCAAAGGGCGATGACGGCTGTATTTCATGACATGATAGGAAAGGAGGTAGAGGATTATGTTGATGACCTAGTTGTAAAGTCAAAATGAGATAAGGTCATTGGGGCATGCTAACCAAAGTCTTTAACAGATGCCGACAGTACAATCTCAAAATGAATCCAAAGAAGTGTGCCTTTGGCGTGTCCGATGGGAAATTTCTAGGTTTCATGGTCCACCAAAGAGGTATCGATGTTAACCCATCCAAGGTACGGGGAATCATGGCAGCAGCGCCCCTAACAACGGTAAAGGAGTTGAAAAGCTTTCTTGGAAGATTATCTTACATTTGGCAGTTCATCTCGGGGCTCGCTGCGCAGGTGGCCGTCTTCAAGCCGCTCTTGAAAAAAGACGCTGCATTCAAATAGACAGGGGAACACCAGCGGGAATTCGAGAGGATCCAACACTCGATTACCAATCTTCCGACGGTGATCGTGCCAAGCCCAGGGAAGCCTCTCCGGATATACCATGCCTCCACCACCTCAGCAATATGAGCACTTCTGGCACAAGAAGGAGAAGACGGTGTCAAACGGCCTGTTTACTATGTTAGTCGCCAATTGAGTAACGTTGAGCTTAGGTACCTTGAAACAGAGAGGAATTGTCTCGCGTTGGTCTATGCTTCGCAGAGATTGTGACACTATTTTCTGTCACACAAGCTACTATTAATGGTGAAATCGGACCCCTTGAAGTATCTCCTGACGCAACCATTACTCTCCGGGCGGTTGGCAAGATGGCTACTGCAGCTATCCAAATTCGACATAACGTGCACAACCCCAACAGCGATCAAGAGTCAGGCTGTCATAGATAGGATGACTCAGTTTGGCAGGATGGGCCTAAATGGAAAGCAAGAGATGCGCGGAGACCTGCCTGAAAATCAGTGTTATGTCATTGCCAACGAAGTCGAGGGGACCTGGACCTTAAGATTCAACGGGTCGGCCACAGCCACAGTTAGGGGAATGGTAATTGTGTTGATAAGTCCTTGCGGGCACACCACCACTTTGTCTCACCAAATAACATTCCCGTGCACCAACAACATCACAAAATATGAAGCATTCCTGACGGGATTGGTCACCGCTAGGAACATGGGAATCAAGAAGCTCAAGGTCATAGAAGACTCTAATTTGGTGGTAAGACAAATGAATGGTGACTTTGCCGTTAAAGAACTAGCACTGGCTCCCTACCGAGCTATGGCCCAACGGATAATTGAGAAGTTCGAGCAAGTCATCATCGAGCATACTCCTAGATCGGGGAACCGCTATGCGGACGCACTGGCAACACTAGGCTCAAGACTCCATTTTAGTGGGGAAATAGAAAGTGTAGCTGTCTTAAAAAGGGATGCTTCCATCATTCAAGTATTCGAAGAACACATGAGGAGGGAGGATGCAGCATCACCCGAAATAGACTGGCGGACGTCAGTAAGGGACGCACTCACTGCACCTGACAGAAGTCTTAAGGAATTGAAAGAATATGTCCTCCTTGCAGGAGACCTGTATAAAAGGCTCCCAGGCGGGGTCCTTGCCAGATGCAAAGGGGAAGAAGAAGCCCGAAGACGGATGGAGGAAGTCCACAAGGAGATATGTGGGGTCGATATTGTCATAAGCCTCTACCGCAGGTTGTAACGAAGAGGCTATTTCTGGCCAAAAATGAGAGAAGATGCGAGTGCTCTACAGACCACCTGCTCAGAGTGTCAACCAACACAAATGATGGATGAAGCTTTTACGGCCCACCTAGCCGAGGATTGGAGAATCCCCTATCTTGAGTACCTTCAGAATGGGATCCTTCCCGCTGGCTCGAGAGAGACGTATAAACTAAGAAGACTGGCTCTAAGGTACTTTACCGAAGGAAACATCTTATTCCGGAAGGGCTTCAATGGAGAGCCTTTAAGATGCCTTAGCAACGCCGAGGCGCAGAAGGCGCTACAAGAAGTACACGCAGGAGAATGCGGAGAACACCAAGGAAAAAAGAAGCTCTACTGACAGCTTCTGGGCATGGGATATTATTGGCCGACCATGGCAAAGGAGGCATCAACCTACGTCCGTAGTTGCCACACTTGTCAGCTATTCAGAAATCTCCATCATAAGACTCACACATCCCTCCAAGACATGAGAACGCCCTGGCCATTTCACACTTAGGGGCTCGACTTAATCGGTCTCATCTATCCCGTCAGGGGGATATATATGGATTCTTAGGGCCACAGAATACTTCACCAAGTAGGTTAAAGCCGTACCATTGAGGAAAGCGACGGGGGCGGCCGTTTCAAATTTTATCAGGGAGCATTTGGTTTGCAGGTTTGGCATACCATACAAGATCATAAGTGATAACGGGACCCTTTTCATGAATAGTGTTGTCGAAACAACCCTTCGAGGATATAAAATCAAGCACCGGAAGTCCTCACCATACTACCCTCAGGGAAATGGACAAGCCGAAGCCACCAACAAGACGCTTCAAAGGATTCTAAGCAAAATGGTTTACGAGTATGCTAAGGGCTGGAGTGTGCATCTACCAGATGCCTTATGGGCCTATTGGACCTCGCCTCGATCAGCAACCGGTTTTTCCCCTTACTCCCTTGTGTACGGCTCGTAAGCAATTTCCCTTGCAGAGGTGGAAGTGCCAACCACCCGAGTCACTATGGTCAATGACCTAGAATGGGACGCAAATTCCTGCGGGAATGAGAGGATACTAGACTTAGAAGCGGCGGATGAAAGAAGAGAGATTGCATGACAAAGGGCAGCCGTGTACCGATGAAGAGCATATGAGGCCTACGAGAAGGCTATGATTCCATGAGCCTTCGAGGCAGGAGAATTAGTGTTAAAGGTAACTGACCATGTCTGGAGGCAAGTCTCAGGGCCGTCGAAGTTCTCTCCAAATTGGGAGAGGCCGTACGTGGTAAAGGAAGCACACAGTAACGGGTACTACAGGCTGGTAGATGCGTCGGGCGAAGGCAATACCGACACTGTTAATGGAAAATGGTTAAAGCGTTACTACTGTTGCACGGGCCACGTCCGTCGTAGAAGAACCTGTCTCTTGAAAACAAGCATTACAGAGGAACTTCCAAGAAGGCATGTGTGCCATTAAAGGCAAAGTTATGACTACCACGTGACAAATGATTTCATTCAAGACTATTTAGTTCACTATGTTCCTTTTGGGAATAGGGGCGGTTATAAGAGAAGTTGGCTAGTCTATAACGTTTGTTGTCAATGCATTATGAATAAAAATGCTCGTGTTCCTCAAATCCCCTGTCCATTACTCAAAACACATATGCATATAGTCATTCGAGGTCAAACTAGAGCATGTTTCCATTTGAGCATTAAAAAAAAGGGGGAAGGGGAGCGCATATGGACAATCCAAATGAAACAAAGCTGTCGCATTCACAGTTAATAAATTCAAAAAAAAAAAGAGGGAACTTTTACAAAATAAATAGAGCATTACATGTACTAGCCTCCATACCCGAGCATGAAAAGAGGAAGGAGCATAAAAAAAAAAAAAACAAGCTCCGAGCGCAACCAAGCTATCCAGAAAAGTCCAACCATCCAGGGGACTCGGTAACAACCTTGTCAGGCGGCAGCCCTGCTCCCTGCACGGCGCGACAACCTGTATGAGGCAGCCAAGGATGCCTTTAGAAAAAAAAAAGGAGGGGAAAGGATTACCCCATAGGAGCAGAATAAAAAAAAAGGGAGGGGGAAAAGAGGAAAGTAAGCGCACCATGGCAAGACGGCAGCTTGGTCATCATCGAATAAACAGGCCATCGTCAAGGTTTTTAAGCACTCGAACCTCCTCAATATCGGCCATGTGTTCTGCAGGCAGGCTCATGCAAGAATCGGCCTTTTGCTTTCTCAAGGCGGCTAGTTTGCCCTCCAATTTAACTATTTGGATATCTAAAGTAGCCGTTCTGACGAATTTGCAATGCTGCTCAACCAAAACGCAAGCAATCTTCTAAATCCGTGTCAACAAAGGAGAGACTTGGCAGCTAAGCTTTTCAGCTTCTCGACATACGTCCCTCCACGACAGTAACAATGTGATGTCAATCTCATCAAGGGAGGCGTGATGGAGTTCCAGCAGGACAAAACCCAAACCAGATAACAAGCCCGGTTTGACGAATCGAGATAGGCAGTTCAGGGGGACGAAATCTGGGGCATGAGTAAAGGCAGTTTGTAGTTAAGGAACTACCTCCAAGGGTACTTGAACCCCTTCGAAGGCTGCCAGAGCAGACGAGGACCCTAGCACCATTCCCATGGGCTCAGCAACCACCTCTGCGGTATCAAACGACTGCAAAAATGTGTTCACATCAGACTCCCACCGCAAGGAGAATTGGTCGTCCCTGCCGAGAGAGTTACCAGTCGAGGCTGGCAGGGGATCATCCGGAAGCCCTGCTACGTGATCTTCCGCCCGAGTGTTTACGCCGCAAGAACCGTCGTCGCCACGGGAAAGCTACGGTAAAGCAGAACTTCCCTCAGGAATGGTACGAGGGGACAAGGAACGCGTTCCAGACGGAGCGCCCTCGTCCGCAGCAGGCTAGGAGAAGTCAGAGCACGCACCTGATGTAGCCAAAGTGCTCGCCTCGCCTCGACAGCCCACCTATAAAAAAAAGAATGAGAGCTAGCATCAAAATCTAAGGTAAAAAAGTAAATAAATAAATAAATAAATAATAATGATAATAATTGTAACTTGCCTACTTATGGTATGTGTCGGATAACTATGTCTAAAAAGGGGAGAAGGGAACCCAGGAAAACGTGGGACAATTCAATGGGATTTAGACTGGGGGTGCGCCCCGAGACTTATGGGTTTACTCCGGTACTTCGGGAGGAGTTACGCAAAAAGCGTACTGTCACGCCCCCCAAACGGGGTGGGTGACGTGGAGCTCGATTAGGGATTAATAAAGCAGATTCCTAGACCGGGCCCCACACTTAACTACGTTAAAATATAATTATATTACTACAGAATCCCGGAGCCTCTAACACACAGGGCTCCACCCCACAGGACATACAGTATCGTACATACATGCTCATGTAAATAATCATTACAACAGACATCAACCATAGTCTAGTTAATCCAAATATTATATAAGTTTACAGAATTTCTCAAATTCCTTACATTTGTCCAAGAGGATGACCACAATCCTCACTTGATTCCAACAGCAGCACAACTCAGCTGCTCTGTAGCAGATATCCAGCTACTGTGCATCACTCCTAGAATCTCCTAGGAGGGGTTTAATACATTTAAAACATAAAACGTGAGCGAAAGGCCCAGTAGGATATAATTTGAAATAAACGTTACAATAAATGAATAATAAATGTACGAGGAAATACATGAAAGAATAAGTAAATAAAATAAGACATTCAGTCCCAACAGAACAGCCGGAACCTCACATCCTTTTTTTCAAAGGAAATATAACTGTAAATAACCGTTTTACAGGCTTCAGCAAGTAATTAGTACAAATTACTTACCTAACCAAGTGCCTCGCCTACCCGGACCGAGTTTCGGGTTCTACCCCCGAGGATGCACTCTCCGCATCCTATCTAGGCTTACAGCAATAGACTCTATTACCAGTTCACAAGATTTCTTTGCTTAAGAAATCATTCATTAACATTTTGAAATCGTTAATACGACCCCACGAACTACTCAAGCCGTGGGCCCCATGACTGGACAAGCCATGAGGTTCCATGACTAAACAAGCCATGGTTTTCAAAACATTTTCTTTCACAAACCAATCCCTTTCTTTAAAACATTTCAAGGCCAAAATCCTTTTTGAAACAGGCTCACAAGGAAAAGGGATAGAAATCCTACCTCGCACTATCAAACATGGGACTAGCGTCGCCTTTTCCGGCTTCCGCTTCCTCAAGCCCCTTCAGCCTGAATCCTCAGCGATCACTGATGCAAGACAACACTTTAGGATCAATTCTCATTCCCAAAGTAATCCAAATCTCAATTTCCAACCAAGATTTCCTATTAGTGTGCCCTAATCCATTTTCATGTTTCAAATTATTATTCCAAGGGTTTTCAATCTCAAAACAAGGATTAACAATGCTAATCCATTTATCTCAAAATTTGGGTTCTTCCCGAAAACAGGGCTAACAACAATTCCAGGCCAAACAGGGTCAAATTCCGTGTCAACCGGTCGACCGGTGACAGAGCAGTGCAACACTTCCGGTCGACCGGTAGTGTGCACACCGGTCAACCAGACTGGTTGACCGGTCAGCCTACAATCCGGTCGACCGCATTGGTCGACCGGTGTCCATATGATCCGGTCGACCGCACAGGTCGACCGGTGGAATCAGCTGCGCGAGAGAAGCTCACGAAAATCAGTCCAAAACCTGTAAATCCAGTCCCAAATCAAAATATTTCAAAGGGAAACCACTAGATCTGGGTTCTAGGTCCTAAAACAAATCCAAAGAACCCAAGATCTCCAATTTCTACTCTAGTTTTACTCAAAAACCATCAAAATCCGATTTGAACCAAAATGAGTTTTGAAATTCAAAAACTTGAGATTCAAGAGAGGTTCTTTCAGTAATCTTACCTCGAATCCTTCTCTTGACATTGAAAACTTCTTTAAATCTTTGTTTGGTTCAAGATCCGTTTGATTTGGGACAAAAATGAGAGAGAGAGAGAGAGATGCATGGGA